AATAGAATCTTAATAAATCTTGTAGGTAATTATCTTAGTTTATTTAATATTTTTATTTATAGTTAAATATTAAAAATTATTTATTGAGACTAATGTCTTTATTGGCCTTCTATCTATATGTATTACTTATAAAAATCCTATCAATGATTAGTTAATAGTTAGAAGAAGCATGAAAAAAAAATCATATCTTTTTAATTAATTATATAGAAAATAGGATTTTTAGTGGATTTAAATCAATTTTATTACTTTTAAAAATTACCAAGATAAGAAAATATAGCTTTAAATAAATATTAGGATTATAAATATATATTATAGAATTTCTTTAGGATTTATTAATAATTTATTTAGAATTATTTAGAAAATTTTAAAAAAGATTTCAAGACTTTAATAAAATTGAATTTTACCACCTTGGGAGCCATTATGAAAAAATAAAATAAGATTTGAAGGTTATACAAGGTTTCTAAGATATTTAAATTTTTTTAAATACCATAGTGAAGTTAAAAATGCAAAATTATGAGATTTACTAATAAGAAATAAGAAGACTAGCAAGTAGTCTAGTCCTTGTAGAAAAGAAGGTGCACAAGTTCCATATAGATTATAGCATCTTGAATAGGCTTAGGAGGATAAGACTTCGGCCTTTTGGCCTCTGTTAACAATCTATTTACACTGCATGTGAGTCTTAGTGAGGTTTGAATCTTTGATCTATAAACAATTTATCATTGAAATTAAATATTTATACTTAATTTTTTAATTATTCACTTCTTATTTTAAAACTTTTATAACTTACTCATAGTAATTCAAATGTATATGTTATTATGTCATTAAAAAAAATTTATTTATTTTTTATTATTCTTTTTTTATTATTTATTGCATCTTCTACTTTACACTACTAATTACAAGCAACTCTTAATTAAGGTCATCTTATAATTTGGATTGAGAAAAAAATTTACCCTCATATAAAAAATAGACATTAAAAGTTGATAAAGGCATATAATTAAAAATATTTAATTAATAAAAAATTAAAATTTTTAAAGTAAAAATAAGATTTTATATTAAAGATATTATCCTAAATAAGTTATTAATGGTCAAAAGATAGCAAAAAGATAAAGATAGGTTACTAATACAATGGCTAGGATTTTAAATAGCAGCTAGGTTAAAAAGAATCTAGAATTTAGTTGAATGAAGCAAAGAAGGATGAAGATGATTATAGATAAAGTTCAATAAAAATAGATATAAATTCTTCATATAAATAAGGAATGTTGGAAATAAGAGGCATCTTATTTTAGACTTTTCTTATATATAAATTTTTTTTATTTCTACTTATTTGTGTCTAATTTGTTTTATTCTTTTAATATTGGACTCAAGATTCTAATAAAATAGATTAAAATATCCTATTCATTAATAAGGTTATAATATTAATGAATGCATATGAGAACCAATCAAAAATCTTGCAAATATAACAAAGAAGATTAATACTTTTTATTGACAACATTTATCAAAATTAAAATAAAAGATAACAAATTTTTGCTATAAAAAAATTACAATTCAAGAAAAATTATAAATATCTTTTATTTTTATTTATAGTTTCTATATATTTGTAATACTAAACAGATGGAGAATCAACAATATAAAAGCCATCGTTTCCTAACTTACCAAAGAAGACATTGTGATTATTATTACCTTTAAGATAACGTAATCAAGATAAAGATCTTCAAGATTGATATGTTCTTCTTCAAATAGATGGCAAGATATAATATACTTGGTATCACAACCTTAAAAGAGACTTCTAATGTTTTGTGATTTTATTAGAAGTAAGAACAACTCTTGATGGTATTACAAATGTTTTGGTTGAAGAAAGTTACAAAGGCCTCAATAATGATCAAATAACAAGGTGATCATTCCGCACTAGAATGATACATTATCAATGGTTGAGAGGACCTATCAACTACCTTCAAAGGAAACAAAGATCAGAGTATGTAGTTACTACAATTTGTTGTATCTTAGACTTTTTCATCATGTCATCACCACTGTCGGGGTCGAGAGAATTTGCCTCAAGAAAGCACTGGAATCGTAGCTGCCACTAATTGCTCAATTAAGTCTTCAGATAAGAAAGACCAATTTTATATTTATGTATACATATATAACACTTTTAGGAGCAATTATACCAAATATATAAGTTTTAAGTTCTTCAAACATCCAAAATATGATTAAAAAAACTCTAAATCCTTATATATCCTTTTGGAGTATTATTCTTAAACTTCAAAAACTCATATCTTCCAATCGGACTGTTCAAATATACTCAAATTTTAAATAAAGTTTTGATATACTTCTAAAAACTATTATAACAAATTTTAACTACAAATTCATCACGGATCTTAAGATATCACCAAAATCCTAACAACAGCTTCAAATCTTAGTTTTTATATATTTACATGTAATTTTCTTCATATCTCACGAACTAAGCACTAAAATACTACAAAATTTATATATATAGCTTCTTAATACAATTATCTACCTTTTTCAAAAGGTTTGAGCCAAAAATTCATCCACAAATTCAAGATAAGGCTCCAACTATTACTACAAACAAATCCACTTGCTTATTGCCTTTGATTTGGAAGCGTTGTCTTCAACTCCTTATATTTTCCTTTATATGAATTCTAAAAGCAACAATTCTTGCATAAAAGATGTAGGTCTTGAAATTGCCATTCCAGTTGCATCTTCCAATCTTCAAAAACTATCATACAACTCCTCGTATTAACAAAGGAATACCTGTATATCTTAAATTTACACCTTAACTTCTTATCTTCTTTTTTAACCATAGTTAAATATAACTATAGAAGGCAAAGAAACTTCATTGTTTTTCATTATTTCTTATCTTCTATACTTAATATATATTATAGATATAATTTATATCATATATTTTTACTACTAATTTTTTATTCTAAAAATATCAAATAAAAGATCACTATTAGTTAAATTTTTTTTCTACCTTATTTCTCTTGGATTGCTTACATGTTGCTTATGAGTTTTTGAATTGATTTGAAATTAAATACAAAAGGAGATTCTTTGGACTTGATTGAGTATTAGATTTAGTAGTTGCTTGAGCACCAAAGATAAACATATTGTAGACTATGATCTTAAGTAGCATGCTTATAAACTGCATGATGGTAGTATTTTATTGGAATTCTTAGATGTATATTAGCTATATGATGTTAGAATATTTTATATTCAAAATCTGATTTATTTAAATACAATGATATTACTAATTTATGCATCACTCAAGCGCTTGTGGTACTAAGGTATTATATTTGTTTATCATGTTTAAGACTCAGAGCTTTTGATTAAAATGCTTCTAAATAAGATGTACAAGAAGACATCAAATCTTATGATTCTTAGATTCTTAAATCATATTGGTGGTCAATTATCTCATCTTTTAGTATTAAGAGATATGATATGTACTTTAATTTATAAAAAGAAAAAAACATGGAAGTATAATTTTTGACACATAGAATTATTTCTTTAATACTATATCCTTGTTTCTAGTTAATCCTCACTTAATTAAACCCCAAGTTGCCAATAGTTTTTTGTGGAATAATTTTTATCAAGAAATGAGTCCAAAATTCTTTTAATGGCTTGTTTTAGAGACCTTTTTGAAATGAGGTATAAATTTTGGTCCAATTGGGGTAGCAGCAAATGTTGACAATAGAGCTATGTAAAAGTTCAAATAAATATAAGTCTCAATGTAAGTCTAAGAGACCTTTGGAACATTTTGCCATATATTGGGCAATCACTCTCTTTTGCTTTTTCTTGTTCATGTTCTTATTGAAATTTTTTGCATTTACTTGCACCAAAAAAAAAATATTAGTAGGATTCTTTGTATTTTTTAAAGGTGAAACTTAGTCTCACCTTCAACATTGTTGATTATTCTAGTTTAAGATCCCATTGCTATAAACTTAACATTAGAATACAAAGTTGTTTGAAGAACATTGCAAGTTTCATTGCCTTGTCAAGGAATTTGATGTAGAAAAAATGATGTTGCATCAATTAGAGAGGAAAATATTGGTGAAAAGAACTTTTGATTGAAGCTTATATAGCTAAGAATGGAAGGGAGAAATGAGAGCTAGGAACTTAGGAAGCGGGTGTTGGAAATGAAGAAGGTAGAGATGTGGGCCATGATTATAATGATGGTTTTTGGAGGTGATTTATTTTTCTATTAATGGTTAAAATAAGGTGGGTTGATTTAGTAAATGGATGAGTCTTTTTAACATATTTCTCTCTCTCTCTCTCTCTCTCTCTCTCTCTCTCTATGTATGTATGTATGTATGTATGTATGAATTATTGCTACTACGTATACAAGTAATTTATTATAGTGCTATTGTGTATCTTCAAACTTACAGTCTATATAAACTATGAATCTACCAAATAAGTTAACAAACCATCCAAATAGAATAAAAATAAAAATGGTGTCCATAGCATTAACTTCTGCCCACAAATTTGTGGACATTGTGAGTATTAAAAAGAACATCCAAATGATTCTGATTGCATTGTTTAAGGGGGGCTGCATCAAAATTGAGGTGTCAAATTTAGTGTGGCATTTAAAGCTTGTTAGGGGATGGATGCTTGAATGGATGTGTTAGGCGAAGTGATGGATGAGGGGAAGTGTTCATCTACAAAAACGCTGAGGATGGAGGAAGTTCCAGAAAGGGAGGAGAGGACGAATGAGGGATATTCATCCATCCAAGCGACAGCGTGCGTTCGAAGGATTCGGGGATGAATAGGGGATGAATAGGGGATGAATAGGTGGGTGGTTGTGTTCATTCGTTCGTTGGTTCGTTGATGAGAGGGGGTTGTGGGGGCGTGGGGGCTACTTGGCCCTGGACTAGTGCGATGGTGTTGGCAATGGCGATGCTGGTGATGATGATGCTGATGCTGATGCTGTGGGGTCCTCTGCTCATCCCCTTCTTCCTTCTTTCCCTTCGCAGGCTTCCAGGCCCTCCTTCCTCGACACACTCACTCGACTCACCAAGCTGCGTCTATCTCTCTTCTGTTCCTTTCTTTCGCCTCTCCCCTCCTCGTCCTACTGCTGCTTGTGCTTCTGTGCTCTTCCTCCCTCCCTCCGTATCCAATGAAATCTTAATCTCCCTTCCCTTCTGCACCGGCCTCGTCGACTTCCCATGGCGTGCCTCGCTTTGTCTCGCATTACGGGGCCCTCCATGTTCTCCCCGCCAATTGCCTCTCCACCCCACTCTCGCTCTCTTGTCCAGGTACTTCTCCTACCCTCCTCTCTTTGCCCATTGCAATGCCATGCCTCTCCTCCCTGCATTCCTGCCTTGCCTACTCGTGCTGAATTTCTCTCCCCGCTTTTCTCCAGCATTTCGACCCGACATTGAATACTGCTACTCTGCACTCGCGCTGCTTCGTCCCTCTCCAAGCATTATCGAATACCCGCCAATCTAGCTTGAAGCACCGTGTTCTCAGGGAGAAATCTGTGTTTGGGCAACAGTGCTGTCAATCTCATGGTTGTAGTTTTGGTGAAAGAGACCTGAATGACGACAAGCAGGATTTTACTGGAGATGACGCCATCTTACTGAGACATCTCTTTTTTCACCCCATGACGTTGCTCGCCCAAGCATTGTCCATTATATCCTATTGGCGAGCCAGGTTACATCTTTGCAGGCTTAAATTCGAAGCATTATGTGAGGAGTCACAGTGGGAAGATCTGGATGGAGCATTACTACAGCAGGGAAGTTTGGGAATGGCATTGCTGAGCACATCCATGATTGCCAGGGACAGAATTAGTCCAGTTTTGATCACGCTTAGGGCAAATCCTACGTTTATGTCAGGCCTTGTCGCATGGGCATTTGCACAGGTGTTACGTCGAGAATTTCACTTCGAGCTTTTATCTAAGTTTTGGGTATTGCTATCAATTGTGCACGCGAACTGTCTTGTGGGTTTATGGCTTTTTTTCCAGTAATAGCTAGTGTAGATAAGAGCCTCCGAGTATAATTGTTGAGGAAGTCAGAGTAGCGAGTTGCTTCCCCTCAATATACGGGACATGGGGAGTTATCTGGTACTGTGTTGTCCAAGAGGTCTGAATAGGGTAGTGTATGTGTGGCAGGTGTTGAAAGTGTTTACAAAGTACTTTGTGGAGAGGAGATGGGACTGGAAGATGCTGGTGGGTTCAGGAGGGATGCCATCTTCTCATTCAGCCCTTTGTGTAGGTTTAACCACAGCAGTTGCGCTGTGTCATGGAGTGGGTGACAGCTTGTTCCCGGTATGTCTAGGGTTTACCCTCATTGTCATGTACGATGCTGCGGGAGTTAGAAGGCACGCTGGACGTCAAGCAGAGGTAAGTTCCTGCAAGTCAAACGTTCATCATTATGTGCCAACTTCCTGGGAATTTCTCTTTAGACATAGCATTGATAAAGAACCCCGATTACCATGGTAAATCTCTTGGGGCAATTCTGGGCAAAGATACGGGATGTTTGATGTTATTTCATTAGTAAGAACGCTTGATTGACTTGCTGTTCAGATGGTTTAGCTAGGCAGTATTTGTATTCTAAACAATTAGGCATTTTTGTTGATAACCTTGGTAAGAACATCCCGCCCAACTTCTCAAAATGATTTATGCTTCCTACATATTTCGATAATGTTAAGTAAGAGGACGTTTGCATGCAGGTCCTAAATATGATCGTGGAAGACTTGTTCCAGGGGCACCCTGTGAGCGAAAAGAAGCTGAAGGAGCTTCTGGGACACACACCGTTGCAAGTTGGCGCAGGAGCTACACTTGGGATGATTTGTGGATACATCTGTTCTCGTGCCAGCATGGTGTATTGAGTAGTGTATACTTCAGTAATATTGCGGATTTCTTTTTAGGGTTTAAACCCGATTGGCTTAATGAAGCACTACAATGTAAGTACTTCACTCCGAGGGCGGAAGTGATGTACTGGCATGTTTGCAGTTCACTTATTCGTTGAACAGAAATGCGTATCCGTCGCTGCAGATCTGAGGCCCAGACGGCCAACTTTGTTGTGGAGTGAAGAGATTATGATGTAGGCCAAAAGTGACTTTAAATGGAGTACTGGAGGATTCTCAAGTCTTGAGTGCTACTTAGCAGTGGGCATGCCGTATATTTTCGAGTCTAAATCCGAAGTTGTTACTGACATGTCTTGATTGTGTAGTTGGTTAACATCCCCAGCATCTTATGAAGATGTTTTCCAGTGAGGTAAATACAACCACCACACCAATAAGTGATGAAGTTGATTGGCAATTGTATATAATTGTGCGGAACCCCATGCAATAAATGAGCTCTGGTGATTTTTCTGCGTTGACTAAAGGTATCTTATGTAATTGCGTTAAGTTGATTGCAAGGTATTACATTTGAATGGCCAATACTACAATTCTCTTCATATCCCTCTGGCCGCAAAATGATGAGGAAATGGAAACAGACCTCGAAATTCATCCTCTGCAAGATACCACAGACACCCTGTTACACACAAATATATACACCTGACAACATGACACAAAATATTTTACTAAATAGGAGCAAATACTGTTGAGCTGCATAGAATCTTGTGAGCACTGCATTTCTACCATCACCAATTTACTCAATAATCGATTCAAAAGATAGAGGGACAAACAATTAGGTCGATGAGCAGCTAAATGACTGCAGCCTTGGCAAGGAACGTAGGGTTAGTGCTTACAGATGGACCTAGTTCTGAAGGACGGGTTTTTGTCCAAATTAGAAATCAAGCAGGTTTGGCAACGGCTAGGAAAAGTGCCATCCACAGAGTGATGGGAACAATCGACAAAGCGTACTGAAAGCATACAAAAGCACATCACAATTTAGACACTTCAAAAGTCCCCACTTGTGGCAAGAGTGATTATAATACATGAATAGAGTCCAACATACTGTCTAACATGATACCCATAAATGAAGGAATGATTTCAGAAATATCAATAAATTGAATACCAGGAGGGAATACCTGACGCAGGAGCAGTGAGGCCAGCACCCCTGACAATCGCCGCGTACTTGTTCGAAGCTGAGATAAAATATTCATAAATCAGATTTTCTTCAAGAACTGGATAGCACTCCATAATTGGAAGAAGGTATTCAACATAATGACAAGACATGCAATTTTACCTGCGACAATAGAACAAGATTCTGGGCCGACGGCATTGCTGACTGCGCCTGCAACATTACGTAGTCACAACATATTGAAATATCAATCATAAGGACTTTGAAAGTAATAAAGGATAATATATTCACATGCATAATGTCATACCTATAGTTATCATGGAGTGTAACGGTACGATACTCAAGGTTATTTTATGATCAGACAAGAGTGCATACCACTATTAAAGATAATCGCGTTATCATGGCCAACACAAGAGGTATAACTAATCATCCAGGGAATCAAGGAGATGAGTTTAGAGCAGATGAGTCGTACTTCAGCTTCTCAAGGTCTAAGAAGATCTAACCATTTACAACATGAACGAAACACTATGGTTATGTACTAGGTTTTTTTACATTGAAGGGTTATCAGGTGCGGCTTACCATAAGAAGAAGGTTGTAAACAGGATCAGCCGGTAAGATACGAGCAGATTGCAGAATCTACGGCACAGAAAACAAGGATGTTTTTAAACTAAAATAAATTTAAAATCTACTTTAGTTTAATTTTAAATTTCATTAATTCCAATTGAACGATTCGGATTCCAAATATCTGACTCGTATACAAAAAAAAGTTGAAATAATAGGAGAGCAAACATGAGCAAAATATCGTTAGTAGTTCGACAAAAATACAGTCTACCACATATTCTAGATGATCGTAACTGCAAAGGATTAATGAGAATGAAACGAAACGGGGAGAGATGACATACAACTGTTGAGACGACCATAATAATAGGCATCGCCACGAGACGAACTGAAGAAATAATCCAAAAAGCTCGAGAGTCGAGAACCGTTTCCAAATCTGTCGAGAAAGACACCGCCTTGATGATTGAATGATTACCAGTATCGGGAAGATGCTCAACAGCTTCCACCCTCGGTGAAGAAATTTTTGCATCACTAGCCGTACTGAGAGAAGGTATGGATGTGGCTAATGAACTTGCTAGCACAATTGTCTGTACTGCTAAAGTTGCTGTTCCTAGAAGTGCTGCCGCCTGTAAGCCAAGCCAAACAAACAAAAATCACTGTCTCTTGAAACTAAGGCATATAAATAACACTGAGTTGCGAAATTTCACATACATCACTATTTCCATTCAAGACCAATCTGAGCAACGGAATAATCGATTTAAAGTTCGAGAGTGGAACATGTTGAGCACATCACAATTATGAAATGAAAAAAGCAAACAAAAAGATTGACTCAGTCCTTCAGCACTAGCATAAAAAGTTTTGAACTTGGTGGGCAGTCTCTCATCAAGAAATTCGCCAAAAAGACATAATAGTGTAATTTCAGAGGTAGTTGGTGAAAATAAGATTCAGATGAACGATACCTGTCAAAATGATGAATAATCTTAAGTGCAAGGCTAATTTTACGCATTCGCTAACCTATCTCAACTTCTACCACCACATAACATACAGGATTTTACTTACATCAAAAATAGGCCGTAGTATGCCCGATGTAAAAGTGCACAAAACAGTAAAGGCGCCTGTGGACTTCATTGTGATTGCAGATGTATTCGCTTCAGAAAGAAAGAGATGAGACAAAGGCGTCCCTCCTACCAACATACCCACCAAAACCTGTCGCAGTATTCAATGTTCAATACGGGAAAAAAATTACACCAGTAGAAGCAAACCTCGTAAATAAAATTTCGTCTAATTTCCGTCTAATGATCAAGAACGTGTTTCAAGCTTCGAGAAATTAGTCGGCAGATATCTATTCCAGTCTATTTGGATACAGACCACATCGCATGAGAGAGAAACTTGCCCCATATAAAGGAGGGTTCATTATGCGTTTGATTTCCTCTAGTATGGCATTCAATGAAAAGCGATTTTTGGGGACACTTCCCCTTGAGTCGCTTTCTTCATCCCCGGTGGCAATTAGAGAATAACCAACTATCCAAAGAGCGGGTGACCAGCCAACCATGAATAATGCTAAATATCTGCAATGAGTTGAAGCATTTCTGAGCCAAAATACCAATCTTTTTCAAAGGAAATTGTCCAAGCCGCAGTGAGCTAAGCGTGGAGAATCATGAGCATAAAATCACCCTCTTCTAACAGAAAGTCTTTGCAATACAAGACAATTAAATCGCATGATCTAAGCAGCCAAGACATGGGGATGATCTTCTTTGCTGAAACATTCAAAAACTTAAGCAACATCGGATGAGATCTCTCAATGACTGCCTGGGGTCCATAAATGTAATCAGCAACGATTTTTGGTGCTGAGAAACTTACCCTGCAACTTTACTTGCCTCTTCAGCTGCCAAGACTCCGGTCATGAAAATCTGCCACATCCAATATAGATTAAGATCTTTCCAGTTACTTCAGATGTCAGCTTGATCTCTTTGTTTCCATATAACCCATTTTAAGATGCTACATGGACTTTCCTCCACATTTTGATAGGGATTCTTTGAACAAATCCAGTTGGAACACAACTATCATAACGAAGAATGTATAATGTATGCCGTAGTGAGAATCAAACTAGCACTGAAAGTCCGCCACCAAAGTAATCCACGAAATTAGGACACTAGTAAAAAAAAACTTGTTATAATTGAACACTCAAGACTAATATTCCGAACTTAATAAAATGATGAAGAGGTGTGCGGGAGAGAAGTACCAATGGCAGAGTAAATGAATTGCCAAATGCACATGCTGCAGTTACGATAGCCTCCTTTTTAGCTGCCATATACTGCTCTGTATTTTCCTGAAAACTAATGACATTATTAGATGTCGCCACCTGAGTTATTGCGGATGAACCTCTTTCAGAGATAATAGTAGCTGGTGGCACTGAAGTTATTGGAGCTGTATTTCCGAAATTTGGTGACGACGCCGAGGCAGGTGCTGGATAAACAAACCGACAAGCTAGTCTTCCAAGAGATGCCCCCGTGAGTACCTAAGAGCACCGAAAAGAAAATTTTCAATAACCCCAATCATTTGATCCCGAGAGGTTCTGCTCAATGGTACAGGCAGAAGACAATCGACGAAAACACGTAGTTCATTTATGACGAGGATGCATCACCTCAGTCCCTAGCAAGGTGATCGGATATGTGGCGCAAGTGAACTAATTTTGCTTAGATAACCAAGTCACCTTTGCTCTCTTGCAAAATATCTCGGCGGTTATGTGAAGACCACCACCACCACACAAACACACACATTCACTCACTCACTCACACTCACCTGAGCAATGGCAACAAGAGGTAGAAAGAGCAGATTGGCAGCAGGCTGTGAGGCAAGTGTTATTGCAACCTGCCCAAAGAATCACCAGAATTTAGAGGAGGAAATTTCGAATTGATGAGAGCACTACATAAACATATGAGATGGATCCAACTTCCAGATTGAACTCTGAAAGTTGTAATGAAATATTCAGCCATGAAAACCATTTTATAATAGAACAGTCTGTAGCAAATGTGGTGAGCAACATTCATTTTACTGATGTTGCTGCCCTCCTCACTACATGTGAAGACAAATCTTTTGGATCAGATCTAGTCGGTAAACACTGTGTTGAGTACATCTACAACTGGAACATTGCAATCATCGTTCCTAATTACTCCTCAGATTGTGCATATCAAGTCAAGAAGTGGTAAAGTTACACACCTTAGTCATTAGGAAGCAAGGAATAAGCACACGAAATGCCACCTGACTAAGTACTACTGGTGTCTCAGCTGGAAGTTGTCCAGATCTCTGCATCCATACCACAAACACTGCCATTCAAACATCATAAGCCACGGTATACGCTCTTCTCAATAAATGTGATAATACAAGTGTAGATTCTGATATGCAAGAGTATCTTACGCAATTAGCTCCCTTGGTTTTTTGATGATATTGAAAACTAAGTTTGGGCACCTTGCTTAAAATATCAGTCATGAATCTCCACTTTTAGAAACAACACAAGAGGACGTTTTAGAATAAAGATATAGTATCTTACAACACAGGCTGATGAGATTGAGAGACGAAGTGAAGGAAGCTCGAAGAACGTTTACGTCCACATGCGATCCCGCGTTCACAATGGATGCAAGAGGAGAAGTCAAGGACCCAGTAACAACAGCCAGTGGTGATGATTGCAAGACAATCGATGAGGCATTGGTGGCCAAGAGCACTCCTCCAATACTACTGACTAGTCCTTCGAAGCCCCTGCCTCGTGCCTGTCATAAAACTCTTTATGCATTCTACGATAGTCTTGAAAAAATACCAGAAATCTAACTTTACATAAGATCTTAATGGAGCAGAGTATTTATGTCAACAATGTATTGCTAAGATACTTACTTCGTTAACATAATCATAATAATAATAATTAAAAACTTAAAATAAATAAATAAAAATGAAGAGTAACCTCATCACCCATGCAAACAATTTATAAGAAGACCAACCATGGAAACAGCGGGTATCTGACGAGGTAGGCAACGCGTCTTGTTTCGTTACTACGATCACTCGCGCTACAATACAATCCTCTATCTGCCTCGTGCCGGTCAATACAATCCTCTATCTGCATTAAAACTACTCTTTACTTTAAGTTTCGACATTTGACATCCTCTTGTACGATGATCTTTGTAGGGTAATGCGCGATTGTCTTACCTGTCTTCTTAATAGTGCTCCTCTTTTAAGATTCGAAGCAGTATATACCCTCATTCCCGGCCCGACAACCGACTTCAAGAGGCTGGTCTTTCTCATCGTGAACACCTTTGAATTACACCGATACGAGTCCAATCGCGCACCACAAAAGACAATAGAATCAGATTTGGTCCATGTAGATATAGGGAATTCCATAACCGACTTGGGCTCAAGTAGACTTGGGCAGGTCGAAGGAAGGGCATGTGAGATGTCATGCGATGTGATCCCTTGCACAACTATTACTGTCATAGCCACGACTGCATATTCTCGCAACCAACAACACTTTCTTGCGTTTACAAGTCCCAGCAATTGCTGCCATAGCTTGAAAAGCCAGGGAGATTCTGAACTATTCCATTTCGTTACCTGACGTAAACTTGTATTTACACCATCGACACCCAGAGGAAATTCAGCTGCCACCTTCCCTGAAATTCTCCTGTTGGAATAATACGTGCGATGATAATGCCCAGAGTTTCCACTGGTCTCTGAGCACACAATTTGACTAATTCGCTCAAGCCAAATAGAAGGTATCCAACCCCACTGTAAAGTCCTCTTCAAACTAGCTTGGTGCGCCTCGCTCTTGCAAACAGATTGCGCACGAAATCGTGTGTGGCCTGTGTTCAAGTGAGGACAGTGCATCCGCAAATACATCTTGGGCAGGGGCTCTTAACTTTCAAATACTCGACAGACTTTCGAAGTTGATTTTTCCCTGTTAATTTGCTCCCGTACTCGTTGGAAGCCGATGACAGAGATAGAAAAGATATGAAATAATGAAGCGGAGCAACAGACACTCAGTAAGATTACACTGAAAGAGGCAATTGTAGAAGTCAGGCTAGCTTCATCGACAGGCCACACCTGCAAGAATAACGTTTCTGAAAAGCATACTGGAGAAGGAAAACGAGTGCAGGGGAATTGCTACATGTTGGAAGAAACCCAGAATCCCACGAACATTGAGGAAGGAAAGTACCGGAGAATCGCAGCGTGGCAGAAGCGGCGTGAGAAGTCAAAGAAGAGGAAACAGCTAGCTGTGTAATTTGCTACAGGGGAGTGAAACTGCGCTTGGCAGCGACGCAGTGTGATCCCGTGAGCGATGATGGAGGACAGAATGGTGCGCCACAAGGCACAGTGGCAAGCAGAGTTTGACAAGCAAGGTCACACACATCATGGGCAAGGGGAACGGAAGGAAAAAAACGGAGCGCGGGAGCGGGAGCGGGGCAGCGCCGGGGGGCGAACCACCTCCACGAACACAGGGATTGTTTCCTGCCCGCTGCCCGTGCGGCACACCCTCTGATCCCCTTTTGCTCTCTACTTCCATCCAATTCCATCTTCATCCGTTGCTTCCACATCTATCCATCCCCCCACTCTGGATGTATTCTACTAGTAATGTCAGTGTGAACCGGTACCACTACAAATCCATGTTTCCTTACTGGTTCCCCACTTTCTTTCTCTCTCTCTTTATAGGTATATACATATGATTTTAGATTTTTTTATTTCAATCAATATGCAGATGACTCTTAATCAATTAATTTCCAATCTCTAATTAATTAGATCATTGATACAGTTATTTGAACCTCCATTCCTTTTTATTTTTTGTATCATTCTTCAAACCATATAATTTAAATTCACACGTACAAGGCACAAGTATGAACTATATTAAGATTAGAGAATTGCTAGGTGAACACTCCCCTTTCACTGCATGGACACTTCTTATGCCACCTAGCAGTTCTCTTTTTAAAATATATACAAATGTAAAATATTGTAAACTATCAAGACCTTTTTTAAGAAATTATTGGTAGAGAAAGAAATGATATAAAGTATACAAAATAATAGAAACTAAACAGAAAATCATAACTATATTTTTAATTCTTCGTATATATATATATATATATATATATATATGACTTGCAGTGTGAGTACTATTTTTCTTCACTTTTTTGGTTGATTAGTAGCAGCAGCAGTTTTTTATATTTAATAAATTTTAAAAATTGATATATATATATATATATATATATAATTTTGTGATTGATCAATAAAAATTTGATGTTAATAATTTAGATTTTTTATAATTTTAATATCTTCTAAATAGTTCTTACATAAAAAAAATCTCAACCAATTAAACACTCAAAAGATATCTCAATATAGTATAGTACTTGTAACATCTTATTATTCAAAAAAATAGTCAAAAAGTTAAAAGAATAAATAAATAAAAATAGTGTAATTTATTTTAACTAATTCTTTTACTTTTAATCTAGTCAAGATCAATATTATTGATAAAAAAAACTTTCTAAAGTTCAAGAGTATGTATTTAAGAGATTTTATTTATTTATTTTTTTTCTATTGTATGTATGTGAATATATATATATATATATATATATATATATATATATATATACATATATATATATATACATATATATAATAGTAAATTAAATTTTTTTTGATAATATCATCACTATAATATTTATCTTTTAAAATAATATTGTAACTTATCTAATTATTTTTAAATATATTAATGGTATTTTATTAGAATTAAGAAAAATAATACTATAAATACTAATTATAAATAATTAAAATTTGTTATAATGTCATATAAATAGATTCTCCTTATTAAGTCTTAAGTGTGAAAAGTCACTAATCATATGGTTTGATATAAATTATACTACCTCAAAAGCTCTTCAAATCTTTTAAGAAAAATTAAAATAATATATAGATTTTTCTAACCTATATTTCTAGAGGTATTTTTTGATTCTGCCTTATCCTTCCTCTCTCTCCTCTACACATGATCTTATTAAAACTCCAACAAACAACCTTTATACATTTGCTTAAAAAATTGTTGTAGAGATGCATATCTATTTATTTTAGTCAATTTTTCTTTGCTTCTTCTCATTAGGTCCATATTTCACTATTCAAAATACATCTAATATGGCATTTGTATCTTATAATTGTATAGCAATGATGGATGAATGAACACCATTGAAAGAAACAAGCATGTACAAGTAGGTAGAAAAGAATTACCAATCTAATAGTAGATATTCCAAAAATAATTTACTTAATTCAAAAAAAATCGTATTTGAACTAATATTTTTTCTAGCAATGATAAAGAAGAAGTTTTCTATTATTCTTATTAAAAAAAACTTCATAAAAAAAGCTTAAGTTGAACATTGAAAACTTCTAAATAGTACCAAAAAGATTAGAAAATAAGAATTCTATAACCATAGCGAAGAAAAAACTTCCATGAAGGTAAAAAATATCAAAACTCTTTGGAACAAGGCTTCAATAGGAGCAGAGACAAAGCAAAGTTGTTAGTTTTAAAGTAAAATAATCCAAAGCTTATCAAATTTAGAAAATAGAAGGTGCTTAGGTTTGTAGAGAATGACAATTATAATCTCTTTATATCAAAGAAGATTTCTTATCTTCCAACATACCAAAAGCTTTCTAAGGACAATAAAGATTAAAATTTGCTACTTATGAACATTTGCCTTGCTACCTCAAAGATCAGCATAGTCTTTTAGGAAGAAGATTCATGTCATTTTATTTTGATTGATTCCAATATCTACAACAAGATCTCCAAGATTAGTGGTAAGAGAAAAAAAACATAGAAGATAATTACATGCTTAAGCTACTAAAGGAGTGGAAAGGCCATGGAAATTTTTTGCTCTACTACTTCATGATTGATTTTGCTAATGCTTTATAATACATCTTTTGGATGTTTCTTCAATCTTATAAGTATACTTGTAGTATGACAACATTATTGTCTTTGATACCACCTATGACATCAATCAATACAAGAGCCATCTAACATTTATATTAACATTGAGAACCATAGAAAAAAAAATCCTATGTGATGGTTATTGGATTTGCAATAAGAAATTTAAGATATTCATTTAGGTGTTATAATCCTTCTTCAAAGCCAAAAGAATTATGCCAATATCTATATTCAAAAATCAAGACCAATGGATAGAAGATACTATCAAATTAGTGTTTCTTATCATTTAGCAAGTATTTATTTGTGATACATCACTCAAAAGTTTTTATTGTTGTTCAATTTTACAAATGATGCTATTATAGATAATTTCTTTGTAAAGTTCTATAATGTTATATTATTAAGGATACAAATTAGAAGAAAATACATAAACTTATAGAATCTGTGTCAAAAAAAAAGTGACAAAATACAAGAAAGTATGTATATTCAAGGAAGGATTGAAATGGCTATTACCAAAGACTTGAAAATATAAGATTCTTAAAAGTAGATTAAAAGAAAGAAAGAAATTGACAAGAGTGAAGAAGGCCTCACTCTTGCTTCTATATATATATATTACTTAATTAAGAACTATTATGCTATAAGATCTCTAATATGTGTCCAACTTGTAAGACACATATCTAATTTGCAAGGTAAGTTTCCTAGGTGTACACCATATATCCAACTTGTACTACAAGTGGTTAATATGTTGACACATAGTCTCCTTGTTGGCCAAGTTTTCAACCTACCAATCATCTATAGACATGTATTAAAGTAAAGCACTATCTATGAAGCTTCTAGGAAGCTTTTTATAAGATATTATCATATTTATCTATTTTGAATTGCTTCTACCTATTCTTATTATTTAGATAATTATCAGGATAAATATGTATGTTCATGATATTATCTTTCCCTTCTAAAGACAAATTCGATGAAAAGCACTGATTACATGTTGATGAAGTCCAAGATACACCGAACTATATTTGCCATGTATTCTAATCTTTATTTCCTTTGAAGGTAGTTGATAGGTCCTTCAACCATCAATAATGTTCCATACCATAGCAAAAAGACTATCTTGATATTTAATCATTATTAAGGCCTTCATAACTTCCTTCAAATAAAACATTAGTAATACCATCAAGAATGGTTCATACCTCCAAAAGTATCACTAAACATTGGAAGTTCCTTCCAAGGTTGTGGTACCAAATATGTTGTATCTTGCCATCTATTCGAGGAAGAACATGTCGTTTTTAAAGATCTTCATCTCGATTTTGCTATCTCAAAGGTTGTGATAGTTGCAATGTTTCATTTGATAGCTCAGCAAATGATAGCTTTTGAGTTGAATTTGGTGGTTGTTGGTTCTCCATCTCCTAAGTAGCAAAAAGACTATCTTAATATATTAATACATTATTAAGAAAAAATGATATAAGATAGAATGAAATCTCCATTGGACTTGCTTTGCTTTGTAGGAAAGAATTTCTTAATTCTTTATCTTGATTTTGATAGATGTCATTGAACAAAAGCTTTAATTTTATAAGTAGAGGTTTGGCTATATTAGATTCATGGCTTCTACGTGTATAAGTTTAGTTTTTTGTACTAATTGTATATTATGACTTTTAATAAATTCTTCATCTAAAAAATAAGCTGAAGCTCATGAATTTATCTAGGCAAAGATTTTGTAATTATTAGATCTTAAACACACATCTATTGTAAAACAAGAAGAGGGTTCTAAGAAGAGAATAGGACCATCAGTAGAAATTGTACAAGATTCCAGCCGCACGGTTTCTATTGTAGTTAGATAAATTTTTTTTCCAACATGTTTTCATCTTTGACAGCAATATTCTTTATTTTGTAGTTGTGTTGTTTCTTTGGACAATATTGAGCAATGTTCTCACCTTTTCTACAATATAAACATAGTCCTTCTTGACAATGATGAGTCTTTTCTTGTTTGATAAGAGATTTAAAACATACTACATCAATTTGTATGTCTTCTACTTTTAAATGTTTAAATTGAGAAGTCGTTGGTATTGTCATTGAATTGTAATAACGTTAAGGTTTTCTTGTGCGATTCTCACATCAAAACTCAAAAAGTCGATTATCACATTTCATAGCAAAATCAATTGTTTGATTCAATGTTTGAGGATCAGGTAAATTGAACATCAATTTCTTTACTTCATATTGTAATCCGTAGAAAAATTGGCTAATAAGTATTGCATCATCGCACTTGATATCTATTGCTAATTATTGAAATTATGAAGCGTATAATATCACTAATCAATTATCTTATTACAAGATGTAAATCTTGTTGCTTGCAATATGGATTGCATCATGTTTTCCATACATAAATCAAAATTCTATTAAGAATACTTCCAAATTATCCAATATTGGATCACATCATTCAATAAATGATGAAAACCATGATAAAACAAAACCTGAAAGTAATATTTCAATAAAAATAAACTTGTGATCCTTGAGTTGGATAACTTTGAGGTTGTAATTCAATCACCAATTGTACATGATTGATGAATCCTTGAAACTTAGATCTTGTGCCATCAAACTCATAAGACAGTCCAATTTTTGGTTCCTTGAAACTTGAACAATGTTTCATTGTAGGTGCAGTAGTATGGCTTGCTATAGATGTTGAAGCAATTCCAATAATCTCTATATCTTCATTGTTTGATAATCTTGTTGCTCCTTGTGGTGGTAGAATAGATTGATGCATTGCAAGTATTAACTTTCTCATTTGCTCTTACATTTGAGCCATTCCACTCTTTATTTCGACAAGCTCTATTATATTAGCACAATAAAAAGAAAGGTGTCTATTCTCACAAAATACAATACTTAAGAATCAAGAAAAATAAATAAATAAATAAATAAAAATCTAGAAAAAATATTAGTTTAAAAGAAGGTAATGCACAACTTCTAATATGCTTATGTCTTATCAAGAGAAAAGGATAATCCACTCTTAATCAAGAAAGGACAAAGCTTTGATATTATATGTGTTCTAGGACACAAACTAGAAGAAGATACATAAACTCATAGAATTTGTATCAAAAAGAAAGTGACAAAATAGAAGAAAGTGTGTATATTCAAGGAAGAACTAGAATAGCTAATGCCAAAGTCTAAAAAATATAAGACTCTTGAAACTAGACTAAAAGCAAGAAAGGAGTTGACAAGAATGAGGAAGGCCTTACTCTTGCTTCTATATATACTACTTAATTAAGAACTATGTGGCAACATGCTATAAAACCTCTAATATGTGTCCAACTTGTAGAACACATATCTAATTTGTAAGGCAAGTTTCCTAGGTGTGCGCCATATGTCCAACTTGTACTACAAGTAGTCAACATGTTGACACGTGGCCTCCTTGTTGGCCAAGTTTTCAACCTATCAATCACCTATAGACATGTATAAAGGCAAAGCAACGTCTATGAAGCTTCTAAGAAGCTTTCTACAAGATATTATCATATTTATCTACTTTGACTTACTTCTACTTATTCTTATTATCTAGATAATTATCAAGGTAAATACGTATCTTTGTGACATATATATCCAAAAGAGCCATCTAAGTTCAAAGACACTTAGAAAACTCTCACATCTTAATTTGGTATAGAGACCAACAAAAAAACCAACAATTTCTTTGATTTAAGTATATTTTTGCTTCATGTATTTATAAGGAATACTTTCTTCTTAGATATCATAATTGTTCAATGCTAAAAAAATATCAACAACTTCTTCAATGGATTTGTAGGTGCTAACATATTCCTAATGTAGTTTATTACCAAGTTTCAAGAAGCCTTAAAGTCTTCCAATTGAAAAGAGAACTAGAGTACAATGTCGCAAATATATATGAGTGTGAATTTGCAAATAAATTCTTCTCTAGAGAATGAAGCAATGTTATATCTTATACCATACAACTTCAATAAGATGTGTGAGCACATTCACCAAAGCCAAAAATATGTTTGCACAAGTTTGGAAGAAATATGGTCTCAACAACTTGCTTATCATGATCAAAGATATGTGCTCCACCATCACTCTTTTCTTATAAAGACCTTGCAAGTGAACTACTATTTGCTAGATTATAACATCTCATGCAACTACCATGACTATCAATTTACCAAAGTACTTTATTAATATGCATATTGTATGTTATCTTTGAAAAATGTTGTAGCGTTGTCTTTGCAAGACTACCTTGATTGCTAACAAGTTCAAAACAAGCACCTCATATTTTTGACTCTACTTCCACAAAGTCTTTCTACAGCAAGTAGCTCTATTTACTCCAATTTAACTTTAGATCCTTGCAATGGCCGTACTTAGTATGTTTATTTAATATAGTATAATTACAAGCTTCCTTGCTAAGGATCTAAACATGCAGATGAGTACTAAATAGTCAAGGACAACCTCATTGATCAATTGTGGTAATATTTCCATCTTTAGTAATCCATGTTTTTTCAAACTTATTTTCAATTAAATTATTTTATATTATTTAATATTTTAATCGACACAAAATATATTCATTATTCATTTCTTCTCTAAGATATTATATATTACAAGCATCCTACTAAAATTCTACTTCAGTTTACAATGTAATGAATAGTCCTTGAAACAATTAATCATCTTAAATTTACATAGCTGTCAAAAGCACAAAAAACTTAATTGTTGATTTATTCTATTTTAAGTCAATATTGGGATTAAATATTGGCTTGCAAAATATGCCCCAATCAAAGTATGTATTATAGTCAATTGAAGTCATGTTGAAGTATTATGAGATGTAACAATATCAATTGAGGTAGCATTAACAATTCTCTATCCTAATGTTGATATTATCAAAATAGAGTATTCAATCCAAAACAAGAGACATCCAGCAGTGAATCCCAAATTACACAAGGTCCGTCCAAGGTACACAAAGTGTTGGACTGGTGCCTCCTTTAAATCCTTTCACATTGTTCGGAGTAGATTAATAGATACTGTTCAGGGGTTGGGGGATAAGATGGCCATCATGAACAACGTCCTCAACATAGGGTGAAGCTGTGAAGAGCATGCTCATATTGTCCAGAATCAGTTCAGGTTACGCATCTCCTTACAACCGTGGTTAGAAACTTACTTCGAGCAAGATATAATGGAACGTTCCACTTCGGCGTAACACTAATCTCTCATCGGTTGTACCCTATATGCTATCACATAAACCTGCCATGGAAATGCAGGCACAAGAATACAAGCCAATATAGTTGTCGATTATCCATGAGTCTGGAAGAAACATACAATAAATCTGAGTTGGTTAATCTTTAGGTTGGCAAGTATGCAACCCAATTGGATTATCTATTATAGATCTACTAATTCTACTACTAAAAGATCATCATTCGAAATCTTCTGTACTTTGGAATAGCCTAACAATAGCTTGAAACTCAGTATTTATAACAGGGTGCAAGATAGCATACACCAATGGTACTGTAGTCCTGAAGGAATCATTATAGTAGAGGACTATACCAGAACACAAAATCCCGAACAGAAAGAAATTATAAGAACGGTTCTCTTCCAAAACATACACGCTATAAACTGTACACTTTAAAGACTGCATCTCAGATAAGTCGTTGATATCTAAGATTTAAACCCATCTGAGGCGCAATCTGATCATGGATTTGCCCACACCTCTTTCAGTAGGTGAAACCGGGATGCTCCCAAATCGTCTCTTTTCTTCTTTTTCCCACTGCCATTCTCACTTACATACCTAGGCTTATCTTGCAAGAGAGACAGGGGATTATCGAATTCATCCAACTCATCATCACTTGTATAACCCTTCCGCAAGGCTGAGGACGCACTTCTTCCCCACTCCTTGGAGTTTGCAGGCTCTCCGATCCATAGCTTCACAAAGCTCGTAGGTGGTGGCGAGTAAACCACTGGAGGTACACAAGCCATGGCGATGTCATCTGGACTAATATCATCCTCCCCAAATTTCCTTCTCTCGTTTGCCACCTGCCAAACCACATGTACTTCAGCAACTGCAGGAATCAATGCAGTACACTACTATTTTCCAAACTGAGTCCCTCGATACATCCTATCTATTTGCCACTTCTATTAAGTCATTATCGTAGGTGTTAGAAATTGAATTGGTAAGATATGCTTAAATTCTAGCATAGAATAAGGATTTGATCACCCAAGTCCTACTTAGTGCCTTTACAGAAGGCACACTAATTACCTCGGTAGCCAGAGCGTTCAGAAGGCCTGGTGAAATCGGATCAGGAGAGAAATCGTCCGGAACGAAGTTGGCCAACACTCGCCGTATGAGTGGTAAGTTGAGCCCTGGACAAACCTGGCACATCGTCGTTCAAATTAAGAATGAGCTTTATTCTGTTATAATATGCTGTAAATGGAACCTGTATTGAACTACGCTGTTTTTCGTTCGACTGAGAATATTTATGCCACGTCAAAGTTCTCTTCGCATTCCAACACCGTGAAGTGCGAATAAGTAACTGTGGATCTATGTAAAGAACACCCATTGAATAACCTGATAAAGTAACTAGTAAAAAAACCGAAATACCGATGTTCAGTGTGATTTCCGAAATAGAACATAGAATATTGAACTAGAACATTGAGAGCTCCATTCTCAAAATATTTATTTTTCAAAAATTAATATAAAAATTAAAAGAACAATATGTGGACAATCATTAGAATTGAAGTATTGACGAAATGGATGCCCAGATGAGTTATTAAATTTAGCAAATTGGAAATTGCATGATATACCTCTTTCCTGATCTCAGGATCGAGAAGGATATCCTTGGGAAGCATAAGCAGATCTCCCGTAGCTTTGAGAAGATTGAACTGAACAGGCTCCTCTTCTTCAGCATCTTCCGGCAGAGATGATTTGAACTCAGCTGGTACGCGGTCTTTACAGCTCACTAAAGCAGACAACCACGTTGACCAGTTCACCACCTGGACATGAGAGCGGTCCAATTAGATTACCAAATCTAATTGGCATATGTATAAATCTCATTTATACATATGTCACAACTTCAGGCCTCCATAACTTCTTAAATGTCCATAAAGTGCAAGTTCATCCTGAAGAGGTTACGTACCACATTTTTCAAATGAGATCCAGCTCCAAAGGTGAGGTTCCCAATTGGAATTGGAAGAACCGAAAGATCAGTAATTGGATCAGCCAAAGGATCCGTTGGGGCATCGTCTTCGGGGTCACGCAGGATTCCATTGAACATGGCTACATCGAGCCGAGCTACACATTTTTCGATAACCTGCAGGAGGCAAGTTTCTGATTTCAGTTGTTGAAGCAACCAATACAGAGAAATCCACCGCCGAGCACAGGAATCAGAGGACTAGAATAACTAACTTTCCCATGTTGAAAAACGCAAGGCAAAGCCCAAGAAACTCCGCGGAACACATGCACTTAAATCAAATAATGCAGCAAAATCAGGTACTGAACGATCATTAACTTACCATTCTGTTTAATGCCGGCAAGCAGCCACATTCTAACTCCTCTCCTTGAAGAGGGCAGAGCCTCTTAAGGGCATCCGTGAACGCCCTTTTCCAAATTTCCACTGATATATTTCCTTGACGGGTATCACCTAACTTGCGACTATTGTAATTCGCTTTATTTGCAAAATCTCTTGCATCACCGGCAAACTTGCTCAAGTCACCATTCAAATCAGCACAACTGCCCTTCATACTTGTTTTATGCATTCCCCCAAGTTGCATCCGTGGAGTAATCGCCTGTGAACACAGAAGCAGACACGGGAGAAGTGAATTGCTCATTGTTCACTGGAATCGTTGGTTACAAGGTAGCAACCACACTTGGTAACAAAATCGATCTTTAAAATTGAGGAATCAGTGGTTTCTTGGAATCGAACAATCCAGACGTGCACCGCCTGTTTAGTAGTACTATCAAAACAGCTCTAATTCACTATTCTGAAGCATTCGTCGAATATGGAACCCCAGAACCTTGTGTACTGTATAATCTTGTAAGCAATAATGAAGGACCATCGTGACTGTATACCTGCCACCACACAGATTCCAGAACTCGGGCATGTAGCCAAGTCTCTATTCTGAAAAGGGTTGTCATAAGCATCGCAGAAGTTCGCCAATCTTTATTAGCTCCTTGGGGGCTTAAAAGGTAACTAACATCACTCTTTGACTTCCGTAATTGTTGTGACCGGAAGGCTCGAGCTTGAAAGTCATTGCTGAGTGAGGAATCGGCGTCTCCATCGATGGCGGTGGAACCTACATCACTATCCTCACAGGAGTGGCTAATAATTTCTCTTAGAACGACCACATTCGACCACCAATACGTCAGTCTGCGCAGAACACAAAACGATATAAAATGAGAAAAGTAATCAGTGGCACAAGCTTCTTAGCACGACGAACATTTACAATGACATTGTCTCTAGCACCCTGCCAACACCAACATCTGAAACCAGGTACACTAATTCGTGACGGATGCATGAAGGCAGGAGATGCAGTGCAAGACCTTGGGACATCGTTACCGCATGCCCGAATAACCAGAACGAGTCCGGAGGCTATATTCTTGGCAATAGCCGCTCTTCTCTCAAGACTCCAATTCTTGAACGCATACTTGTAAAACCTTGAGAGGCGCCGTGCAGGGGTGTGAACTTTATGGGCCGAACTTCCATGCTCAGCCACGACAGAATACAATGCAACCTCAATCAATGCAGCGTCCCTCAATTCGTCTTCCATTACTGACAACTGGTGCTCTAGTTGCAAAATTCTCTCTTCTCCTTTCTCAACTTTCGAAAGAGCCTTAGCTTCTGCCGCGGCTTTTCTCCATTGGTCTACTGTTTTTTTCTCGACAGTCGCAAGCTTTGCCCTGGCTTCGTTCAACACGCTTCTAGAATCTACTGCCATATCAGGACCCGATTCAACATCTCTTGACCCAAAAGAAAGTTGATGCGTTAAGGCAACCCCAGGGGTCGAAAGTCTCCTCCCTAATACGGGAGGAGAAGGATTTCCATTTGTGGTAGCCACGAAACCCTCTATAGACGGTCTCGATGGTACTACTGTTAGACTGGATCTGGCTACATTTTTATCCTTCGATTTTGAGGACTTTCTCCATGCGTAGGCAGCTGCAGCAGCAGTTGCCGCAGATCTTATGGAGGACTTCTCACCGGCTGCATTGGAATGTCCCAGGAGTAACCCGTTCACTTTCTCCGACAATCTTGACGAATCACTCATTGTCGCTCAATCTACTGTTTCTCTGGAAGAATAAAATGTGTCAATACAAACCCGAGACTTAGCAAACACAATACTCTACCTAAGCAAAGAGGTTGAACAATTTATTTAATTCGTCCTAATGAAGGAAAGGATCCATCTTAACCTAGATCTGTCCTTTTGAAGGACAAACAACAAAACAACAAAACAACAAAAAAAAAAAGTCTGAAGGAAAAGATAGGTGCAAAAAATGGGAAGTGAAACTTGTTAATCCCCACAGCAGTGGCGTAATGACAATCGATTCCAAGATTCAGAGATCGAAGTCTTCACGGAGTATGTGGAGGTGATAATGCAGCTTAAGCATCATCAACATCAAAAAAAGTTGATACCTAAAAACAGGCGAGACTTTGGCACTAAAGTCGTACTTTCACCCGATATGTTTGAACCAGCCCTAAAATTTCTGCACATTCCAGTAAAACAATGGCGAAAGCAAGAGTCATGAAGATATCCACAACTGTAATTACCTGGGCAAAGTTTTTAGATTCGAATGATAATGAATTATCAGATCCTTCTTCAGAGTTTCATACTGATTGCGAGAATCAATTGGAATAAGGATATTGAATCAAAGATTTTAAAAGCTCTCAACCTATTCACTAAGTACTATCCACGACAATATCAGATCGCTCATCTTTTAGATACTTAAACGTGACAAGAAAGTCTGAGATCTTACTTTCTATGTTCATACTAAGCCCCATCGCTAGATTGTTTATCTACTCGCCGCGAGAAGGAAGACCGTGCAACTAAAAGAGAATCACCTCGACTGAAGAGAAGAAGAAACGTACGACGAAAAGTACTAGAAGAGCGAACACTGAAACAACAGCAGGAGGAACCCGAACTGATCTCATGCGAGACGAAAGAATAGAGTTTCGAAAGGAACATGGACAGATACAAACATTTGTGAGAATGCAAGTAGAAGGCAATGTGCTACGGCAATCTGAAGGGCGATCCAGGAGGTGGAGAGCACTTACTGCGGGATGGCGAAGACCGAAGGACGAAGAGAGGAAGAGAGATTAGGGGAAGGCAAAGAGAGGGCGGCGGCTAAAAGGGGCAGCAGCGGCAGTCATGACAAAGAGCGATGGCAGCACAGAGGCGAAGAAATGCAATGCTGCTGCAGGAGAGGAATGGAGGAGGACTAGAGGAAGAAGGTAGAGGAGGAGGGAAGGGAAGGAGGGAGGGGGAGGATAAGGACGGGGAAGGGAGAGGGAAAGGGGCGTATCATCAGCATCGGTGTGACGCTCATGCAGACCAGCAATAGCGAGAGGGGAGTAGTAGCAGGAGGGAGGGAGGGAGAGAGCGGAGAGCGGAGAGCAGACAGGAGAGGAGGAGGGAGGAGGAAGGGGGAAGCAAATGCGTATGTGGGAAGGAGGCGGGCAGAGAGGCAGCGAGGGGGTTGTGCGGTGGAGCAGGAGCAGGAGGAGCAGCAGCAGCAGAAGAAGAAGAAGGTGTAGGAGAAGCAGGCATCAGCAGCAGCAATAGTCAGGGGTGGGGTGGAGTGGGGTGGTGCAAGAATAGCTCTAGCACAGGACGAAGCAGCAAGACCCGCACCTGCGTCGCCATCTATCGCGCTCCCCCAACCCCTCCCCCATGCTGGTGGCGATCCCTTGCTTCCTCTTTCTTCTTCGTCTTCCTTCTACTTCTGCTACCCCTGTCCAGACCAATAGCACACTCGCTTCATCCCCTTTGCTGGTTCTGCTTTCGTCCTATTGACTTCGCCGTTACTTACATACATGTTAACAATTGCAACAACAATACTGGAGGAGATATCCATCATTCCTGTATGTATTCATATCCAAGACCCAATTGTGGTAAAAAAATATTCTATGTTGAGCATACTTGAAAAAACTTTGTGACATAGAAGTGATAATCAGCGATTTAATTTGAATGTAACTATTGTTATTACATAGTCAAATAGTTCATGGCTTTCATTGTTTGGTAGGTCTATCTGTAGTCTCACTTCTTGTAATACAAAATAGTAAAAAGTACTATCAAGGATTTGCAAGATAGACACAACTTGTGTCTTAAATTAAATGGTGTAAAGAGTGTTTATATTTTTCTTGTTTTTAAATACTTTTGAAGAGTAGTACACAGAAAACACTTTCAAGTTAGCTCAATGATCCTCTATCTAAATCTGCATAAAACTGGTTCATATTAACATTGTAAATAAAACAATACAATTCTGGACAAGTTACAAGTATTATTTAAACATGCACACGTACAAAGGCCTATCAAAAACAACCTTGTGTAAATTTAGTGTTTATTTTATCCAACTATATATGGATATAGTATTAAAAAACCAGTAAAAATGAATATTCTTTACTTTGGTGAAAATTTTTGAATGTCGAATTTCTTTCTAATTTTTAAAAATAAACAAACAGAATTAGACTTTTGCAGATTAAGTCATAGATCTTATTTTGTTTTGTAATATTTTTCGAAGTCAAATTTACATAATAATATCATTTTTTATACCTTAAAACCTTGTTAAAAGCTAAAAAGCTTAAACTATATGATGTTTTTACATAAGCCATTATATACAAATAATATATATATATATATTTCAAATTTATATTTGAAAAAATGAATAAAGTCACAATAAATAAAATTAAGTAACTTCAATTAAACCATTTGATTATGCTATGATTTTTTTATAAAAGAAAGAAATATATATATATATATATATATATATATATATATATAAACATTATTATTCATAAAAAGAAAATTTAAAATTTTTATTATAAAAAAAATATTTAATTTTATAATAAATTTTGGTTGATATATTAAAAAAATAATCTATTGAGCAAATTATGCACAAAGTATAAAAATTTGAAAAAAGTGTTAATTCATTGTTTATGTTTTGTTTTAGAAGTAAGTGGATTATATCACTTCTTTTATTATGCTTTAAAGATTATAAACTATCCACTTTAAAATTGACATTTTTTATTTTTTTTAGTATTGATTCTTTTCTTAAAGAAAGTGGACCATTTGTCTTTGTGGAAATTTTTATCTAATATTAGAAATTATAGATTGATCTCTTTTTATTTGACTTGAAGTTTTGTTTGTTTTAGAGATCGAATGAAAACTTATAGATTCTATACTTAATAATAGAAAGAATAGATTTGCAACTATTACAAATTTTCATGAGTTTGTCACCACTTTTATAATGAAAATTTTATGTATTACTAATGTCAACTATAGAAATATTATTCTTACATCTATAGAAAAAGTTAACGATATTGTTTAAAATCTACGTCAAGAAATTGTACAATTGAGAGAAGCAAGTAGATCAAGCTTATAATTAAATCCAATAAATTTTACTAATCTAAGTACAAAAGAGACAAGGATAAATATACTAAAGAAGTTTGTTAATTATCTAAAGATCAAGGACTTTGCAATTGGAATCTTATGCAATATCTATTAACGATCATATTCTCTCCTCAAATCCTTCATTTTATTTTATAATAGATATTATTTTAGAACCAAAGAATTACAAAGCCTCTATCTTATTAGATTCAAGAGTCTCAACTTGTTTTTTTGACAAAGGCTTTGTTATAAAACAAGAATTACTTTTGGTTGAGAAAACTAAACTAATGCATGTAAAAACAACAGATGGTTGTTTATTATCTTCTAAAAATATTGGTTATAAATTTTTTTCTCTAGATATAATAATTAATTATAATAATAGATTAGTTATATTTAATATTATTAGATATCTCTCTAATTTAGCTATTTTAGATTTATTATAACTAAAGAAGTATAATCTTAGAATAAATTGGATTTCTTATAAATTTAATTTTTTCCATAGCCTAACCAAGACCTTTGTAAAAAGTCATAAGTCTAATATATTTAAATCTTTATTAGTAGATGCAAGAGAATTTATACATGTTGGAAAAGAATAATCATATTTTCTTATTTATGCCTATATTCATTTTTGATAGAAATATTTTGAATGGCATTCTAAGCTAGAATCAAGATGTTTTTGAGAAAAAAAATGCAAATATTCTTCCAAAGCATTATTCTTATGATTGTTTAATTGATCTTCAAGAAAAAACACAACAATCATTTGGATCAATCTATATTTTATTATAGAAGAAGTTAGATGCACTTAAAGAGCACATTGGCAAGGAATATATTAATAAGAATCTTGCTAAAAAAATTATATACCATTATAAATCTCTAGTAGATATTTGTATCTTGCTTGTAAAAAAAATGAGAATGTTACATTATAACTTGACTATATATTAAAAGATAAAAATATGGATTTTATTATAAAAGATCCTAGTTAAATGATATAGTAGCAAAAAATGAGTAAAAGATGGGAAGATAGTAAATTTTTTTAATATCAATAGCATTTTTTTAAAAAATATTTTATTTATTTTATATAGCCATAAATAAGGTAAAAAAAAGATAATTTAGAAATTAAAATAATATGACCATTTTTAGAAGAGAATTAAGATTAATTTGTAACAAAAATTACCTTAAGAAATCAAGAATTAATACCAAGAAAAGATTGATTGTAGACCATAGTTGAAATCAAATCCTAAGGCACAAAATTGCGCTTCTATGGCTTGACTGAGGTCCTTTTGCAAATTAATGAATGAGGTTTGATGGAAAATTAAGACAAAAATCTTTAAGCATTGATTTTAAGTAATTTGAATTTGCCATGACTTTGTAAAGGCTTTACAAAGTTAAGATTGATTGGAGGTGACTTTGGATTTTAAAAAATATAAAGAATTTATACTTTTAAGAATTCTATAAAAATAATAAATGACTTATAAATAAAATTTTGTCAATATATGATCATAGTTGTATTATGTATGTGTTATAACTTTGAGTTCAATCAAATAATTCATTTGAAGATTATTAAAATTCAAAAGTATTGAAATCTTTGAAATTAAAGTTTAGAAGATTAGTAAGAGTTTTAAAGATTTGTAGCAATCTATTAATTGAAATATAAATTAATAATAGATATAATTTTAAATAATTATATAAAATTTAAGATTAATTAGATGATGAAACTAATAATATTGGAATTAAAAAATTGGTATCTAGATGTCATAGTGTTGTATTATATGTCATCTTGTTTGAGAATACATTGAGCATTTGGCTATGGAAGGTGAGATTAAATTTTACAAATATCCAAGAATCCTAATATGTTTCATCCTTATAAGAAGAATGTAATTTGAAATTTAAATAAAAACTATTGAGATTTAATATAAAGTATTCAAAAATACTCTTTTTAATAATTTCAACTATATATAAATTCTAATTACCTTATTACTTTCATAATTAGGCAAATTTGATTTTTCTTTGCAAGCCCTAGTCCTAATTAGTAAGCTTTAGTGAGTTATATCTCCTAATCTAATTGTCCACTTGAAGCAAAATTTTAGATATAAATGCCATTATAAGTCTTTTATGTGCTAAAAAAGAACTTACTCCAATCTAATTTAAAAATTGTGAGAAAACGCCCAAAAACCACACTAATATTACTTGGCCACCAATTTGAAAGTTGATGCAAATATTTCAATATGATTTCTCATTCTCAAACTATTAACTTTAACTCAAAATTAGTATATAGCTTAATCTTTAAGTCTTCTAAGACCATGCCAAATTTCACTTTGATCCGACTTGTGAAACTTTAGATATCATAGAAACCCTATTCAATTCCAAATTTTCAACTTTTGATATCTTCTTGTACCAAAACCCAGATATCTTCTCATCACACTATTAGATTATTACAAAATTTTACATACACTTAGTACACCCAATTAATCAAGAACTATCAAATTTTGAACTATAGTTGTAATACCAATTTTATGAACTAGCCGAGAGTGCTAGCTCTAATTGTATTGCATAAATTCCAAGCCAACAATACAAACCCTGATTTTGAAGAAAAATTACAAAGTCAAATCAAACTCTACAAAAGCAAGCATTATATCTTTAAAACAAGCTTTAAGTTAGCTCTGGAATTCTAATTGTTGATCTTCAAATGTTCCCTTATTTTGTCCTAAGCAATCATTTTAGTGGCTAAAGATTTGATTTCGATCTTGCCTCACAAACGGTTGACCCCCAAGTATCAATGTAACCTATCTTAGGAATTTTTTAGCCCAACCCTATCTTCAACTTAACTCTAGTATCAGCCATGCTAATTATTTAATTCTTTCAATCTGATTTTACCAATTTATGGTCTTTCTAAGATAGTAAAAGAGTCTCTACAACCTAGAAAGAAAAATTACTAACCAATCTTTAATCTACTAACTATTAAGACAAGAAAATAAACTAAGAGGCTTTTTTAAAAGCCATGTTGAAATATCTTGAATTATTATTGAACCAAGATAATTAATATTAATTAGAAATCTATTTCTGATTAGATTTTTACCATATAATTATCTTACAACACGACAATAGATATAAATATTTATTCTAATAGTTATTTAATACTATGAATATTTAAAGATAAATAATAGTAGATTAATTTCATATCATCTTTTAGAAAAGCTTTCTAGAAGCTTCATAGATGGAGTTTCATCTTTTTACATATCTATAGGTGATTGTTAGATTAGAAACTTAG